TATCGTTATATTAACACCAGTTTTGTTGCTACGCTTAAAATAATATTATAGTATTATATGCATGAAAGTTCATCCATTTTTAAAATTTCTTTAATGGGGTAAAAGAAAAATTCAATAAAGGTAATATTATAAATTAATATGGAAAAAGTAAATAACGATACGTAATAGTTAAAAAGTCAATAATAGTAATACAAAGTTAATTATATTAATCAGTATGTACGTTGTATTTTGCATGGTCGATTGATGATTGATCAGCGTGGCTTAGGCTAACTGCGCCATTAACCTGGCACACATTCAAGACGTGCCACTAGCACTAACAAAATTGGCCTAAACTAACGAAATTGACAGGGCATAGTGTTACGCGGGAAATTGAAGTTTGTCGGGAGTCTAATCAACTAGCAAAACTAACAAACACAACATTAGACCACCTTATCGAAAGAGACATTTAGATTTGGCGAGCGGAATGGTTCTAAGGCTTCGGCAATCCTTAGACTACAAGAAACACATGATGATCACTTGACAACTGTAACAAATCCGCAAGGAAATCAATTATCCTTGATACGTTGGGATACGACTTCAAGATAATACAACAATAAAATAGCTGGTTTATCAATAATGACGGATACTCTAACTTAAATGGGCTAATTTAAAGATGGGGTAAACTTTAGGCAGTGTGACAGTTATATTCAATAATAGAGTTTGGTTTACTGACAAAGGTTTAGTTTATTGAGGAACAGAATTATCGAGTATAATGAACTATATATGGAGAGGGACAATAGATAAGCCAAGTGTGCTTGTATTATTAAGGAAAAATGATTTGTATCGTATGAATGATAAAACTTAAAGGGGCGAAATGGCTCTTTATTTATAATAAAATAATACATATTCTCAAACTAACAATACTACCCTGAATACTAAGTTTAATGTCCTTTCCGCCATTATTAGCTAAATTCTCTATACTGCCCAAATAATTGTTATTGTGGTTATTGTTAATTATATGAGTACTCACTTTAAAGCCAGAATAGTCAACAATGGTGAAACTGACAAAACTAACAAAACTGTCAGTACCATGATTACTGGCAGCTGACCCAAATTTATCGATGATCGATAACACCGAAATTGCTGTGGCAGTGATGTTCATATGTGATCATTGAAATTTGCCAGAAGGCAAATTTCCTGTGTTACAATTCTCCTCACTTAATTGGAAGTTTCACAAACTATTGACTAGTACTTGAAAGTCTTAAATCTTTATTTTGCTAATATTATAAAGAACACTTGAAGACAGTTAACCCAGTGATTGATGACTACATAATAAACATATAATGACATCATTTGTTTCCCAGAATTAAAACAAACTGGCCTAAATATACTCTAACCTAACCCTAACCTAACTCTAACTTAGGCTGAATACATGTTATATGATGTTGTGATGATCACTATGTTAACTCTTCTTCAATCTACCTCATTTTAGAAGGTTAGTTTGTGAGTGAGGTAGATCTGCTCAATTTCATACTTTGAAAATATATTGTACACTTGTATAGAGATATAGTAGTAATACTCCAAAGTTAAATTTTTAAAAGAACATTAATTTTCTTTAGAAGCAGTAGTGAAAATCATCCCCAAATAATACTCATATGCCAAGATATTATGCCTATTCTGAGATTGTTGAGCTGCTCTCATATAATTGAGCACCATAGTAATGCAGGCGCTTGGGTTGACTAGAGTATAATCAAAAGGAGGGGGCACGGAAACAATGTCAGTAGGGAACAAGCTGGTTAAATTATTATAAACTTCTGTAAAAGTAACTATTGTATCTATATATAGGTATATATATATATTTTTTTTCTTAAAGTTTTTTTTTATCATATTGTGTTTATCTGACTTTTATATGAAAATATCCTCTCTTTTTTTCTTTTCTTTTCATGTCTCTCACATCCACCTTTATTCTTAAAAAACATCATTTCTTTCTTTTTCCCAACAACCAGACTCTATAATAATTAAATGTCCTTTTTTTTTCTAATCATTATACTTTTTAATCAACCAGTACTAATTGGAGTCAATAGAACTTGCCCTTCTATAGTATACAACTTCATAACATTTTAGTTGAAAACCTGATAAACAAAGTTGGGTCTCTTCTATTTTGGTTCTAACTTTACACTTCAACTATATTGTTGATCTATACAGAATACTAATACTTTATTGCAATACTAAATTTAGAAATTTTCTGAATCTTTTTATCATGAAGCTGTTTTTGTCTTTGTTGCACTTACATGATAGCAGCTTGACAAATTATTAGCAAGATTTCAATTACTTCCAAACTCTTTGAATAATATTTTCTCAGCTATATCTCTATTTTCTATCAATTCAATGGGCTGTCTAGCATCACAGCCATATATTAAGTAAAATGGCAGGATTCTAGTTGTAGAGTGCCTTGAGGTATGATAAGCAAACAATATAGAGGGAATGATTATATTCCAATCTACAATATTTTTAACACTTTTGGCAATTGATTTACATCAAGTTCAATTGAATTATTTTACCAACCCATTAGTCTGGAGGTGGTAAGGTATCGAAAAAATATACTTAGTTTAGAACTTTTCTAGTAATTTCTGAACTAGCTTATTATGGAAATAAGTTTTATAATCTGACAAGATAATTTCAAGGCATCCGTGATGACAAATTACTTCATTATACAGTCTGGGAATATACTATAAATGTACAGTGCTAATCACACCATTTATGATAATAGAATGCTAATCTAATAGTTCTAAAAATTTTTTTATATCAATCCAAGAATGATCACTAACTAATCAAATCAACTGAATAGAAAAAATTTTTATTATTATGCAAACTAGAATATTCCAAATCTTACTTACTTTTTTAATAGTTTATTTACTTTTTTAACAAGAGTTAACTAGAGTGAATTATTGTGGATTATTTAAACTACATATTTTCTACTATCTATTAATACTTTTATTTAGAAGTTTTAAGCAATAAATAAAACATATAAAAAATTTTTAAAACTGCTAGCAAGAAGTTATACAAAAGCCAATCAAATCTGTGCAGATTATTCTAGAATCAGATTTTCTAATTTGTTCTTATTTGCTATATTCTCTGACTATTATACAAGAAATCTGCAACTTAATTAGCATTAGCTATCTCAATGGCCTTAGCCTCTGGCTACTTGGTCATATAGTCCATGCTACCACTATGTATCAATTAGACTAGATTATTATTAGTAGTAGACCTACAATATCTATATTTATTTGAAAAAATGGTGCTACTATTGGAATGAGATGCAAAAAAACAATCAACTTAGGCTTTCTTCAGTGTTGATATTGATCACATGACTTCACATAGGCCCTAATACATTCATAGGACTGTGGCCAATAGTAGAGCTGTCTAACTTTCTCAAAATACTTTCTATCTCCAAATGACTTCCTAATAGATGATCATGAATCAAAAATAAAATTAGTTTTACTTCATAGACTCTTAACAGCTTATTAGAGTTTTTGCTGTTATTTCAAAAACACAATACCATTTTCAAGAGAAAATAGTTAACTAGAATTTATAAGCCTTGCCTTGTACTATCTAGAATTAACATGTTGATTTTGAAGATATCGTTTTAGTTGATTATATTTTTCTGAATCTATCTTGCAATACTTAATACCAGGATATCTACTATCTGGATAAGATTTTGCTTATTGTCGGGTTTAAAATATTAAATGGTTTTTCAGAAAGGATTCTTCCTATAGTTTGTTTGATATTTAGCTTGTTCAACTTCTTTTTTTCATTTAAATACACTATAACACTATTATCTAATAATGTTGACATATTCTTAGTTATTACCGTCCCTAATTCTTAAGCCTTTTGCTAATAATTTTCTTCAATAATACTACAGTCATCCTTCTCTATAATCACACATTTTGTGTACTTAATAAATTTTTTAAAAAATGTGCTTATAAAGAGGTTGTGCTTATATAGAGGTAGTTTTTTATATATTTACTAGTA